AAAATTTTCTAATTTTTCTTCATTAATGGACGTTCTTGTCCTAAAAAATATTATCTCATATTGTAATGTGTAGACATGTGAAATGGATTGCTTGAGCAATGTAGCTGCAATGCGTGATATAGTTTTTCAAGTGGATTTCCTGGCTCGAATGCTCCTATTCCACCTGGTGCTAGCTTTGGTTATCGTCCTAGAGGTTGGGGCAAGCCTCCTGTTGATGAAGTAAGCTTCCTATGATTCTTGCATTCAAGCTATCGTAGTCTTTATAACATTTTGTATGGATTCTTCTTCTGTGCGATTGTTTATTCTTTTGTGACCGCTTCTGTGAAATTTTTTTTCTGTAGTTCGGACGCCCACTATATGGGGACGTTTTTGGTGTCCAACAACAAGAACAACCAATTATGAGGTATGAAGATATGCATATGGGAATGCTTTCTATGTAACCCCACCCACATATATAACATATATGACCCCTGATCTCAGCCATCAGATCTAAGTAGATGGCTTTCTATTTTATTTAGGTTCGCCCTAGTTTATGATGGGACACTCAAAATTTCATCCAAAAATATTTTGTAAAAAAAAAGAAAAATAAAACGGCATTTGGCATGACATTGTGGCATGAACAATTGTAGCCATCAATTTTGAATCAAAAAGCTTAGAAGTGGGGTCACGTATAACTGCTATGTTGTTCGGGTCACACAAAAAGCTTTTTGTATCCATTTTCACTTGGTTTGTTGAATTAATAGAATAAATCTTTTGTTTTATTATAATAAACTTCATGCGTGGGCAATTAAATCTTCCTTTGTTGGAAAATGACTTTCCATGTTATGGTTTTCTTGGTTTTCTTAATGATGGCGATATCATTGTTGTCTCATTATGCATTTTCCTTTGATTGCAAGAGGAACTTGTTGATAACAGTAAGCATTGGGATGACTTGGAGGAAGAGGAGGAACAGATGGAAGAAGAGGAATTGGAGGCCGGTTTTCAATAAGTTGCCAGCCTCTCTATCAGAGGAAGCGCAAGATGTAGGAAAAAGGAAGGGAAGGCAAAGAAGAAGGATTTCAAGTTTTAGGCACAAAGCTATACATCAAATTCGCATAGCATGAATGCTCCCCCTCCCCCATTGGATATATTCTGTTTGGTTAATACATTGTGAACTGTGAAATTTGAAGGATCTGACACATTGAAAGTTCTTATTGACATGTAAAATGTGAAGTGCTTTTGTCGATCTTGGGCCATCTTGGTTCAATTAATGAATGGACAGGGCAGCTAGTTGTACTATTGAGGTAGGAGTGATGTTTAAAGGGAATTTGATTAGTGAATCCATTTTGAGTTCATCGATGAATCTTAACTGGGCCTGCACTTGGTGGAGAGTTAGAAGTGGTTTTATTTTCTCTAGGGAAGCCATGACCTATAAAGCATGAATTTCTCACAAGGTTCGCTTGCGTGATGTTCTTGTTTTTATGTTTTGTTTCTTCTTTTGTGTCGACGAGCCACAAACACGATCTAAAGGAGCATTATTATCAGCATAAGAAATGTCCATTGTTGGCTTGAAATAATTGGGTGCGTGCCATAGTTAGCGATCCAAGGAATAATAAAATATCGGCATATCAAAATTTTGGTAATAAATCGGTTTTATTTCAAAAGGACGGAGGAAAAAATCGGTTAAAAAATATGGATCACCAACAAAAAAAGGTCACTTATAGAATCGTGAATATTTGGGATTTGGTTAAAAAAATGTAGTGAAAAAAATAAAATATGCAAAGATCATAGTTTGTAAGTCTCCCATTTAAAACACCTTTTTTTCAATAAATCTCCGATTTTTTAAAATCTGTTAAAAACTATTAGTTTTTTAAAAGGTCTTCAAAAAATCGTTTTTTTTTAAAAGTGCGGATATAAATTTGCATTTTATCTTCTCTAAAAAAACCTTATTCCCTGTAACTTTATTTATTAATTAATTTAATATTATTGAAATTTGGTGTAAAGATAAGTAATGTAACAATGATTAAATTAAAAATCTTGATTTAACAAAAAATACTTTTTCATTATGTACATATTTAAATAAATTTTTTAGTTTTAAGTTTAACAACTTTTATATTAATAAATTTTTCACAAATTTTATCGATTTTCTAGAACTCGGCTCGGCTTTTATCCGCGCTAAAATGAGTTCGGCGCGGCCCTAATTTATCTCGGCTCGGCTCGGCTATTATCAGCTCGGCTTGGCTAATGTCGGCTCAGCTCAACTAAAATTGGCTCGGCTCGGCTAATATTGTCTCAGCTCGGCTCAGTCCAGAGAAAACTCTATTATATTTAAATTAAGTTTAGGTATTTTAGCTGAGCCGAGCTTAGCTGAGCCGATAAAGCTGAGCCGAGCCGATAAAAGCTGAGCCGAGCCGACTTAAGCTGAGCTGAGCCGTTTTAAGCGGAGCCAAGCTACGAGCCGAACTTTTATCAGCGCAAACCTAATATCCACGAAAACTGGAAAATTTTAGCTGGAAGAGTGCTTCCATGGGCTTCTTCTGCTTTTCTGGGTTTTCAAATTGAGGGGAAGAATTGGAGAAGGGAGGGATGCCATGCGTCCGTCGACTGCGAATCCTCATCTTCTTTGCGAAAAGTGTGCCCGAGTCTCTTGCTACCCTAGTTTTACCCCATTCCATTATCACCCAAGACCCCTTTGCCATCCTTCACTCGTTGCCCCAATTCACGGCTCTGGTTTTGCTCGGGTACTCATATGTTGGTAAACGTCAAAATGCAGCGCAGACAGCTTCCCCAACCTTCAAATTCTACTCCGAAGATGGAGGATTGGGGTCAGTTTTCGTCTCCTTGCTTTCCCTGTGAACGAAGATGAACTGCAGTTGCAGTTAATATTTAATGTTTGGACTGAATTGATAGTTTGCATGCTTCAATATTATAATGCACTAACCATGGTATTGTTGGACCAAACCATGTGAATTATGAACGTTTGTTGCCATTGGATGTGTGTGCTCATGAGTGTTCCATGCTGATAGACATCAACATTGTGTTAGAAGGCTTATCATCTTGAAATAGGGGGTTTAGAGTAAAAATAGTCTGTCTTTTGGAAGAAGACGAAACATAAAACTAGGTGATGAATGAAACTTTTCTCAATAATGCATAGTTACCTTCGAAAATATTCCTTTTTATAAGTCTTTTGTGGCATGCAATGAGAAACAGACCATCAACATATGAACTTATGCAAAAATAGGGCTCACTGGTTCTATGTGGATATGTTATTTGTTGATATGGGAGATGGAACCTTTATTCTTCCTTGTTGCTT